AACGCTGTGGAGAGCTCGGGAAAAAAAAAAAACCCTCAGCCTGGGACTGGCTCCGAGCCCGGACTCAGCCACGGAGCTGGATGACAAACACAGCCCCGCCAGGTCTTCGACTCCCTGCAGCTGTGGGATGGAGCCAGGACTGGTCCAGCTCCCTGCTAAGCACGGCTGCTACTGCGCACGGATGCTGGGAGAGGTCTCTAAGCCAGAGGCTTGGACCCAGGGGGGGAGCCTACACCTCCCTGCCATCACTCGGAGGTCGATGGTGGGCCAGGCTGCAGGGAGCGAGGGGCTGGGGGCACACGGCTGCTCCGAAACCCTGGCCTGTGAACTGCTCCTGGAGCAGAGACGGTGACTCCAGCAGCTGCTTTCTCTTGCCAGGAAGCTAAGTGCTGAATTCAGACCGTGCCAGTGATGTTTCCTGGGATTAATTCCACTCTAATGGATTTCCTGATTTAGCTGTTGCTTCTTTCTGCCTGCCAGTGTGTGCAGTGAGGCCCAGGCTGCGAGTCCACAACCTTACAGCAAGACACGTCGCCCATGAAGCTGGAGCAAGACCGTAAACTTTGGCCAGGCTTCCTCCACACGCGCCCGAAGCCCTGGCTGGGGCCGGCTGGGCTGGGACGCACCGAGGGAGAGCGGAGCTGGCAGAGCCACTTGTTTGCCTTGCGGGGTCCCGGGAGAGAAAGGCCTGATCCTGACCCAGCCTGCGGCAGGTATACGGCTCCTCTCTGGGATCGTCACACCGCAGGCGGTGCTGCTGGGACATGCTGAACCAGACACGGGGCAGAGCGGGGAGTTTTGCCTGTCGGGGGACCTTGCAGGAGTGCGTTCATGGTGTTTGAAGGGCGAGCTGCGTGCGGGCGCTGCATCAGCACTGCTGTGCATTTAGATGTGTTGGGTGCCACGTGTGCACGTGCACCCTCATACGTGTGCTCATATACACACACAGACACACACGCTCCCACCCCACGTGTGAGGACGCTTTGGCAGAGCCAGCCCAACACCTCTCACCTGTCCTGGGGCGCACCACGAGCGTCTCCAGCCTCTGAGCTAGGGGCCACGGGCTGGGGGGCTCCGAGGGCCGCCAGCTGGCCGGCCCCCTCCTTATGGCCTCATTCCAGCCCTGGTCAGCAGCAGAAAGTCTCTGGGAACCGGCTTCATCCTCCTCCTCCTGCTGCGGTTATGGCTAAGGGGGAATCGTGTCTCGTCCTTGGGGTCAGATGCTCTGGGCCAGCCAAACTGACCCAGCTCAACCACGAAGGGTGTCTTGGGCACGTCTGGGTGGCCCCAGGCTGAGGGTGGCTCATGAGGACACCCCGATCCTCACCAGCATCCCGTGAGCTGGGGCTGGTCCTCCTCCCTCCAGCCGTGGTGGTGGGGGGTGTCAGGTCATGCCATTGCCTGGGCGTGTTCAGCAAGCTGGGGACCCCTGTGTGCAAGTGCTGGGTGTGGGGGGACGCAGTGTGGAGCCGAGGGGGTTTGATGCACCGGGAGCACCCAGAGCAGGGAAATTTGGGGGGTTGTGGGTGGGATGGGTGGAGGAAATCCCTGCTGTGCTCGGGGTGGCAGGCGAGCCTGCGGTGGGGACGGCTGTGCCTGGCGGGGGGGGCTCTTTGCAGACTAACCTGTTTTCTGCCACCAGGATCTGCTCCAGGAGTTTTCCTGCCTGGCACTTGGTCTCCAGCTCCGCCGTGTACAGCAGGTTCAGCAGCAGGTCCAGGCCTCCCTCCAGGCGGATCACGTCGCACAGCACTTTGGCCACATCCCTCCCCAGCGTGGGCATCCCCCAGGCTTCCTCCACCAGCTGGAAGACCTCGGCGATGGCCCTCCTCAGCTCCGCAGGGCTGGCCGCCTGCTGGGCACGGGCGATGGCCTGGTGCAGGGCGGGCAGGATCCGGTCCAGGGCTGCCCGCACGTCCGTGTTCACCCCGGGGGAAACCTCCCGGTGCTCCCTGGAGCTGCCCCCGCCTGCCCAGCTGCCCGCCTGGCTCACACACTCGGGCACCACCAGCCGCTCCGCACCTGACATGGCGAAGAACCGGCACAGTTTATAGAGGGAGACGAGCAGGATGAGCACCATCGGCATCTCCTAGCACAGCATCCTTGGTCACCCACCCCCCGGGAGAACCCGGGCAGGGCCGCCACGCTCCTTGGGGGGACCCGAGGTGGCTGGAGGGGAGGCACAGGAGGGGGGACGGAGCTGGCCCGGGGCCCAGCTGCAGGGCTGGGCTGCTGGCTCCCTCTCCCCTCCCTGCCCTGCCGGGATGCGGAGCTGGAAGCGGTGGCAGGAGCCGCCTTCCCAAAGCCAGGCTCAGCATCTCAGGTCCTCAGGGGCTGATGTCACCCTGCGCAGGCGCCGCCTCTCCAAGGAGGGGCTCATCTCTGGGCAGCAGCATCCCCCTCCTTGCTACAGATGCTCTGGCATCCCCCCAGACCCCTCCTTCCACAGCCTGCCCAGCCTGAGCTGGGGGTTGTCCCGCTGTCCCCGTGGTCCATGTCCCCCCCTTGCTCAAGCTGCTGCGGAGCCTGTGGTCACCTCCACGGCAGGCAGGGACCCCCACCCTGCTTTTGCAGCAGGTCTCTCTGGGACCCTCTGTGACCAGTGAGGGGGGCACAGGGTGGAAGTGAAGGGCCAGGCACCGTGGTGGCCATGGCCGTGGTCACGGTGAGGTTGTGGCCATCCTGGCACTGCGTTTTGAACCCGTTTGGTATCAGTGCAGGGGGGGAAACGGCTCCCTTTGCGTGGCAGAAATTCAGAGCAGCTCTTCTGGGTGGGCTCAGGATTTGCATGATAAAAGAAAGAGCAGAGGCAGCCTGGGCCCCTTTTATTTTCTTTTTTCCAGGCCAGACGTGCTCAGGGCAGAAATGCTTTGGACACTTCTTGCCTCTGTTGGGAGGAGCAGCTTAAATCCTTGGCTCCAAAACCAGGTTGTTGCCAGCTCAGACTGAGACTTAAATTCAAGTTGATGTTTTGATGTGACAGAGTCGCTTTTAATCCTCTCTGAATCCACTACGCAGGGACAGACAGAGGAAAGGGACATTAGCTCACAGCGAAGGACAGTAAACAAGGCGACCCGAGCGGCACAGTACTGCAGGAGAGGCTCAGCAGAGAACCAGTAAGGATTTTCCCGATAAATGATTATTAAGCAGGGGTAAATGCAGCACAGCAGAGGGGTTTGCTACCTCGGAGGAGGCTGCTGCCTGGGGGGGGGCCAGAATTCAAACCATTCCCTTAGGCTTGTCCTGACTAGCCCAGAGAGCTTTGCTTTGCTTTTAGTTTTGCTTTGCTTTGCTTTGCTTTGCTTTTTGAGAGGGATTTCCAGCACCAGCAGCCTGGGCTCTGGGAATGGCAGGGATTCCCAGCCTTGCCCTGGGGGATCAGCCCCACGCCTGAGCTCTCCTCGCTGGCTCTGCTCAGTCCTCGGCTGCAAGGGCTCCCCAGGGCCCCGTTACCCAAACCAGCCCCGCTCCTGGGGTCTCCTCCTCCCATGCTTTGAGCACGGCAGCCAGGGAAGGGCTCATCGAGCCTCGGTGGGTCTGCGGGTTGCCGGTGGGCGGGAGCCTGGAGCAGCAGGAGGGAGCTTTGTCTCAGCCGATCAGCAAAAGCAGCTCAGACACTGTCCAGCCCTTCTCCCCCGAGCCTTCCCGCAAGCCTGTGCCCTCTCAGGGCGCTTGTCCCCCAGGCTCGGTTCAACAGGGATGGGATGAAGCTTTAGTGCAACACTGGGCTGGTGCTTGCACCCGGGGATGACGCCAGCCCCAGCATAGCTGAGGCCAGGGAGCAAGGAGGGGGTTGACGGGGCTGCAGGAGCAGTCCTGCCCCAACAGCCCATGTCTGGTGACTGCCCTCATCTCACCAGGGCTTTCCAGGTGGAAATGCCTTTCTCGACACCAAATCAAAGCTCTTTCTAGCAAGGGTGGGAGCAGCCGAGGCCAGGAACTGCCTGTGTCCGAGCTGGCAGAAGCGAGGCCCCTGGAGAAGCGGGCACCCTGCTCAGCTTCTTCTCTCCCCAAATCTTCCATCGCTTATTAAAGCGCAGAGCTGCACTGCTCCTGCCCCAGGGCTGGGACGGACTCCACGGGGCTCCTGCCCCAGCAGTGCCGCGGCAGCGGAGGCAGCCGGAGGCAGTATCTCTGTAGCCTCGTGTGCATTTGCTCCTTGCCCCTGATTAAATAAACATCCCGGAGTTATCAGGAGCTGCTGAAAGAGCTGAGTCAACATTAATTAGTAACCGAAAAGGTTGGTTTGAAAGGGAATGATGGGAGCAAAATACACAGGCTTTTGTTTGCCTACTGCAGTGAAAGTGCAGAGGGTTCCCGCTTTCCCTCCCTCCCTCCCGGCCGCTCACCTCTGGCCCCTGGTCCCTGTGCACAGAGGTGGCACCTGCCCCATCCCGAGCTGCCGTGCCTTGGGACTCCCCAGGTCTGCTCCCAGCCTTGGTGACATTGAGAAAGCTGAAATCCCAAGAGCAAGTCCTCCAAAAGTGACATTTTGGCCAAGCGTAAGCCCAGGGCTTTTCCCTTTGCCCTCTGAGCACCGCTCCCTTGTCCCCTCTCGTTAGGGTTTTTGCCTTGCAGAGACCGGACTGGGAAACGGCCTCCCCTTGAGACGGAGGCTGGGAGCTTTCATACCATGAGGTTCGCTATGAAATAAGTGTGGCAGGACCTCAAAACTGGTTCCTGGCTCTGGCCTGCTGTCCCCCCCACTCTCTGAACCAGTGCCCAACCCGCAACCCGGCCGGGAAGGCGCTGGCAGCAAAGGCACGGCCAGCGGCTCTCGGAGCTGTCTGCACACATGGGGAGCCCTGTTCCCCCAAAATCCACCCAGCTCGGCGTGTGCTGCGCGGGATGCTGGGTGGGAGAGCGTCTCTGCCCCTTTCCCCTCTGCTCTGACCTTGGCCTGTTTATTTTCTCCTGCTGGGGCAGGCTGAGCAAACAGTGGATGCCGGGGCCCCGGCTGCAGCCGCGCTCCAGCCCGCACAGTCACAGGAGGGCTGCGCTCCCGGCCGCCCAGGATGAGGCTGCTCTTCCCTGCCCTCGTGCTGGCCCTGCTTGCCACCACCCGTGCTGCTGAAGGTGAGTCGGAGCCGGCCAGCCCCGCGCCGGGTGCCTCCCGCTTGCAGCCAGGGTGGGAATGGAGCGAGTGCGTCTCCTGGGCTGATGGAGGAGCTGGGGAACACAGGCAGGGTGAGGAGGGGACCAGGTGGTGGCCATGGCCGCTGGCCACGCTGGCTACACCTCGCAGCATGGGGAGAAGGCAAGCAGGCAGCACGCGGGTATCAGTGGTGCCTGGGCAAATCCCTGGCCATCCTACAGCTGGACTGCCACCGTGGAGCTGGGACCCTGGCACAGCCTGGTCCGTGGCTCCCATCCCAGCGGGGTGGGAGCGGGGAGAGGTGCTGCTGTAGCCCTGGGGATGGGGGTACCTATGGAGAGGTGGGGTCCCCCCATCTGGGCCGTGCCCGTGTTTGCTTTCACCCCTAGGGCTGGGGGGGGGGAGGCGCCAGCTCCGCTGCCCACCCCGCATTACTCCTCCTGCGCTGACCGTCGGCTCTTGCAGACTCCTGCGTGGGCCGCTGTGATGATGGCTTTGATGCGCAGCACAAGTGCCAGTGCGACACCCTCTGTGTGTACTACCAGAGCTGCTGCAGCGACTACTCCACCGTCTGCAAAGCCAAAGGTACCGGCCCCGCGGCCGCCCTCCCAGCCGGGACAGGGGCGACTGGGGTGGCTGCGGGTGCTTGACACCACGGGGGCTCGGAGGGGTCCGTGCTGGGTCAGCTCTGCATGCACCTATGTCCGTAGGGTGAAGTCAGTGCCAGGATTTGGTGCTCAGGGTGCTGCAGCACCAGGGGTTTTCGGCAACCAGCTCACTGCTACCCGCAGCATGGGGCCCTGGGGGTCCGTGCAAATCCGTATTGCCTGGGAGCAAGCGGCTCCTGCACCCAGACCCCATGGGAGACGCCCAGGGCTCCTGGGTACCAACCTGTTCCCTCCCGCAGTGACCCGGGGAGACGTGTTCGCCTTGCCAGAGGACGACTACCTCGACTACAACCTCACCGTTGACTTCAGCACGGTGGAGGGCACCGAGGCAGCCCCCACAGAACTGCCCACGTCCCTGTTGCCGGCGCAACCCACGTGGGAGACCAAGCCAAGCCCTGAGGAGACGCTGATGGAGGTGCCTGTGGAGGAGGTACCCAGCACTGCGCTGGATGGGTTCGGGGCGCAGGACCCCATGGAAGAGCCCGAGGAGCTGTGTAGCAGGAAACCTTTTGATGCCTTCACCGATCTGAAGAACGGTTCCCTTTATGCTTTCCGAGGTACCTTGGGGACCTTTCCCAGGCACATGGGACACGCTGCTGCGCCGTCACCCTGCGCCGGTGGCTGCAGTCCCTCTTGCTGTTCCCACCTCTCCTCTCTCCCCAGGGAAGTACTTCTACGAGCTGGATGAGACGAGCGTGCGGCCCGGCTACCCCAAGCTCATCAGTGACATCTGGGGCATCGAGGGCCCCATTGATGCAGCCTTCACCCGCATCAACTGCCAGGGCAAGACTTACCTGTTCAAGGTGGGCAGGAGCCTGCCTGCAGGGCTGGGAGTGCTCCCGGGGCGGCCGGCACGGCTCCCCAACCCACCCTGGCACCCTCCACCAACCATGCACGCAGTGGCTGCCAGATATCCCCAAATCCCTGCGGCTGTCTGGGCCCCC